TATATTTGTTCGGTGTTTGATAAGATTTCAAACTTCGTGTGATTTCTAAAATGCATTAACACTTTTTATTATTTAGTAAAACATTCCAATATCCAAGCTGGGAAATTTTCACATTCCATTGACCTTCCTTTCTAACAAAATACTTTGTACTTCGTGGGTAGTTTACTTGGCATAACGCAAAATGCTATGATCCGTCGAGCATCCCAACTGGAGTTCTACAATAAACTACGTGACCACCAGGCCTAATTTTTCTGCCTTTAGTCTTAGCGTGTGCATTTGATTGTTATCTAGATAAAAAATGCAGTGAAATTAACCTTTGAAAAGCCTAGTAGGAAGATGTTTATTGGTACTTATATGCCAAACATCTTATTTAAGATGGCTCCCTCAACAACAATACATACATTTTTTGAATCCTTTGAAATGTCAAGTGTCTTGCCTCCCTTTGCGTGCACTTATGTACCCATGCATAATCTTGCTTTGATCGTCTAAATTTATTGCAAACCGTATCCTCTGTGATTTACTTACTTATGAGTGATACTTAAGAAATGAGGATTTTCTATCACCTTTGTCTCCTACGTACATTTATTTTATTACACACCTAGGTGTGATGAACAGCAGACGGGGTAAACCTCATAGTCTCGAGGACCTGCTGTTCAGTGGTTGAAATTGGCAACCTAGGCCCCGGAACTTGGAGTTGCGAACCACATAAGGCCCCAATAGGTTAGGCGTGGTATTGAACCGGGTGACAGCAGAGCTGCCTACCACCAAAGTCGGGTGGCGGTGGCGGGGCTCAAACCTCGGACCATAGGGTCCAAAGCACGCCGGTAACAGCGACTAAACCACTACGCCATCACCACCCTATAATTACATGCTTCGTATATCTATACATAACTAACTGGCTTCAAAACTACGGCTTAATATTCCATAGTTATGTCTAGAATACAGAAGCAGTCTATAAAACACGGATCTTATGATTCCGTTTGATTGGCTTTATAGGTTTATAACCAAATTATTTTCCTCAATTTATAAGTATTCAGCTGTTGCTTGAAAAACAAGCAGTTACTTAAATCCGGTTGTCCAGCAACAATGTATTTACCGACATGACATTTATGTAATTTTCAGTGGACGATTGCTTAGTTTACATTTAAAAAATCGTTTGAATTGATTTACAATACGCTTTGATCAAAAAGGCCTGAAGTTGTATATGAGTACAACGAAATACTAACGACTTATTCGCGCTGTCTTATATTTTCAATCATAGGCCATATAACAGCCTGAGGTACTTTCTGACATTCACAATATGAAGAGCTTATAAAATGTGTTGAAAATAAGACTTTTAAATTTATTTGCCCCTAACTCCCTAAAAGTTATCGTAAACGTCTTGAAATCTCATGGTAATTGTACATGCTTGCGGTTACCTCGAAGATTGTTTCACTATAACTAAAAAGCACGGATGAGCTAAAAGCGGCGATGTTCACTGTTGTTATTTTCAAGCCTTATATTGTTCAGTAAAGGTTCAAGAGTATATTCTGCATCTAGAAGTACCATTAACTTGTTGGTTGCCTTTTACCATGCGTGTAATTACGCTTGCAGTATGCCAATTTTCTTCTACGGTGAGATTTAAAAACAGGTGTCTCTATCGCCATCGTCAAAAACTAGGAACGAGTTAACTTTACCATCCATAGATGAAAACACAAATAAAATGTATTAAACCGAACAGAGAATTAATCTTCTTAAACCCAGATGAAAACGCGAATCTACTAGAGGTTCGAGACTAAGAGAATCTCCCAGAAACTTAAAAATTCATGCAGGAAAAATTGCTGATGATACTTCCCTACGATAATACGTAGTCTTACTTATCATTAACCGGATACATTCACGCAAATAATCTCTCAGCTATAATATGCCACTGAGGAAATTAGCTTCCATCACAGCTAAATTAATCTTTTACATTGCGCCCTAACCAAATACTTGACAGACAAATATATCCTCTCGTCTTGGAGTTGTTAAAACTACCCGGTGAAAGTGTTCAGCATGAAAATAAGATGATCAACGGACACAAGTATTTCCGGCAGCATGGTAGTAACTACATGCTTGAACATTCCCGGTGGAAATTCTCCATTACACTGAAGAAAACCTTTTTCCTAATGTTTGAAAATTCCTGTCTCCTTCTTACCACTCAAAAATAATTTGCAAAAGGTCTTTTTAAATCATTTAGCAACAACGCAATGAGCGAATTTACTTTCAAAGTGAAAGCATTTGAAAAATGGTGAAAAATCAAATGCAGTAAACATTCTGCGAAACAATAGTGAAGCGACTAAAAATTACTTTTTAGTGAATTCCGAAACATTTATCAGGAAGCAGGAACGATACAATACGCATATGCTTTGAATCACCAAGTGAAAAATCAACAATCAATTTTCAAACTAAAGTTTATTATAGTTTCAGCTCAGTGAAATAATTTCATTATTCATTGAAAATCTATTACTAAAATTATTATTGTTTCACAGAGCTCGATATATGGTAAACTATAGTTTAAAAATTGGTTGTTGATTTTTCACTTGATGAAAACTAAATTAGTATTCATCAATGAATATCTCCTCAGTGGATCAAATTTCAAACAAATGGAAAATACCTGGAAAATCAGCATCTTATTGTCATGGAATTACCCTAAATGATTAATGTCTATCACATTATTATGTGATATAGATCTATATTACATGCGGTTTCTT